CTACCACCGCTGTAACGAAAATCACCTAAATGAGATATAGTCAATAGGCCCTCCACTTTCATGGGCGGTGTTGAAATGGAAGCATTTGAACGGATATTTGGTATAATCTCTAACGTAACATTATCAATGATTTGACAAAAAGACAAAACTATATTTCCATACCCTCCTTCTATTCGTTTCGTTGAATCGGCTGATATACACACACTTGCTGGAATCGTTCTGTAAACCAATGAAAACGTTGCTTCTGAGCCAGCATATATCCTTTTACCGTATGTGTCGAGTGCCATAACTGTGAAACTGTCTGTAATTTCTGTATTTCTTGTCACTTGTATAAGGTTAGATACAGGGTCTTTCAGTTCCTCAAAAGAGTCATAAGTAGCAACAGAGAAATTTAATTTGTATAGTTTCTGTTCTAAAACCTCAAATTTTTGGGTGAACTGAACTGACTGGAGAGTTTTTAATAAATTACTATCTGGTTCTCGAAAAGTAACTTCCGTCCCATCGCTACTAATCGAGCTTAACTGTAGATCACCGTAACAAACGGCACAATTCGGTACCCTTAACCACGGATCTCTGGTCATGGTCATAGTCAGATTGAGTCTCAAATCGATGCCTGGATCTAGTATACGGATACCATCAAAGACTACTCGTCCTTTGACAGCTCTCTTTCTTATGAGCCAGTCATAATTTCCCTGATGAAGGGTAACATTGTTGCCAGCTAATCGATACTGTGTCTTTTTCAGCATCATTCGGTAATCAGGCCTGTTGCTAAAAACCTTATAATGGTACGGAACTGTAAGATCCACGTTAAGTACCGAGTCGAGACCTGTATCGACGATCGAATCATTTTGAAACCTAATCTCGGCAATTATTCTGAAATCATGATTAGCCATTATCTTCAATGGAGGCTGCTGAGTAATTGTTAGGTGGTGGGCTGGAGCTGTGACGAGGAAAGGATTTGAATAGATTTTTAATAATTTCTTGGGAAAACTGATCGAAAATATTCTTTTATTCGGTGGTATCATGGTATGTTCGTGATAAAGCCAATCCAAAATTATCCTTCCTTCAAATGCTTGCACATGAAGTGTTGTAGCAGATGTATTTGATCCACATCTCACTTTGTCACGGTTACGGTCAAGCCGGTGTGGATAATTCTTCCACCAGATCGCTTTCTGACACAATCTTCCACCACTGGATGCCCACACATCTTTATAAGTCGGAGAATGAACTGTTTTCTGGTCTATAGTAGACACTACATAAGTTTCCGAGGATAATGGTCCATGAGTTACACGAGACCCGTTCTTGAATTCTATGTAAACGATGATCGGTCTACTAATCACTTGATTCAAAGGCACAGAATATATATAATCCTTCTGATCGAGTGGAATTATAAGCGGCGGTGATAGCTTATGGTCAAATGTTAATTGATATAAACAAACAGTGAGAGACAATGTCAATAAAAATGCAAAAAGATTTTGAAGTAAGTCCATTGTTATTGATCTTTTACAAAGGCGATTGCTCAGTAGACAAATTTAGTTTGTTTTTTCATTGATATTTCTTTAACAGAAATGAGCCAAACGCCATGAAACAAGTTGATGCGCATTGCTAACGTTCAACTTTCGCAAAATTTCATCAAATCTCCAAGTCGTCTTTCAACTTAATGCATAAAACCTATTATGACGTAAAAGACAAACCTACTTCTGACGTTTGATTTACAAAGAGAACATCATCTTAAAGAAAGAAAACCTAGTCGCATATTTTTGGTTGATATTGATAGGAGTACTTAGTCCAAGACATGCTACGCATGAATCGACCGAGAAAGGAACTGGCACGATGCTTAGATACGCAGTGACCCTATGACCACAGTCGGTCTTGTAACTGATGATGGTGAATATTGATAACAAGCAGCATTAAAAGATAAACACCAGCGATAAAATTGTTTTCTCTTTGGAAAAGGGATCTTCATATAGATAACTCTTTATTAGTTCTTGTATTTGAAAGAGCAATTGTTGGATCACCGGAGCTTTAGCTTAAACCAAATAATAATGAAAAACACGATGAAAATAGAAATATTTTTATTGTTATCCTAAGTAATATAGATGGATCCATGACATATAAAACGTGTGCAATAGATGAGATGCTTCTTTTATTGAATACAATAACAAAATGCATCATGAAGTAAAAATGGTTAAAGGTTTTGTTTTTCAGGTAGAATATGTATTGTCCACGTTTTCTTTTCCGCTGTAATCAATATTTGGAAACATAAAACTGGGTTCCACTCTCAGTCTTCCTCCGACTGAACTAATCGCGTCCATGTTGCGTTTTGATTCTCGTCTGCGAGAGTGCGACCAAAAACTGGAGAAGGCTCGGCCTACGTTCAAGAAAGACAAACGAAAACACGAATCCTTTTTCCAATGTATTTGGTTATTTATTCACATATTGACTTGGCATGGTGTGGACTGGAATAGGTAGGTGACACTTGAGACATCTTCGCCTGCTACTAATACTACTGTGTTTTGCTCACGCCAGATGAAACAAATTGTTATTTTTGCAATGGAGTGCCAAAATGGGACATCATTTTGTTTTTATATGTAAAATGCGTGGATAAGATTTTCCTCTCAATGCAAGATTCGTGAAAAATGTTCTGAAAATACTAGGGTTTTCTTTTTACATCTAGGAAACGTGAAATTCCTTTTCTTCCCAGATTCATTATCATTCATTTTGATTTTTTTTACTTATGTTGAATACGTGAATATGAAAATGACAATTTTTTTGTTTAACATGTAGAATTACTTGACCCTTTTTCTTTCGTAACGAACACCATACGTACTTTAAAACTGCTATTATTATTATTATTGGTATTATTATTATTATTTTAGTGCTTAGAAGAGTCCCAAAAACGCTTGAAAAGTGGTTGAAAGATTTAAAAGATGGCAGCTGTACCTATTATTATTATTATCAGAACACTTCTAAGAATCCTGAAGAACCTTACAGATTTTTTTGGAAGAACTGGAAATCCAAAGAATATACTAGTTGTACCTATATATTACTGTAGCACCTGCAAGAGTTCCGAAGCGATTGCTAAGTGACTGGAAGAATGGGAAATACAAAGAGCTGAAAACTTTCACACGACAGCATTATTAATGAAACTAGATTACCGAGGAAAGTGCTGGACTATTGTGGAACTTTGCTATAATGTTTGTATTTCTTTCTGTACTTTATATTTTCATTATATCACTTCTCAAGTAATTACATTTTCTATCATATCAATTAGCTTCAGACATCTACTGGAAAAAATTGCAGGGCTGTGTGGCCTATTGTTATTCCTATCCACGTACTTTGAGATACTCTCACGGCTTGCGACGCTCGGCGTTTAATTAAGATTTTTGTTATATGAAATTTGAAATCATTTTTTAGCTTTGATTTCTTGTTGAATTGATTGTTCATTGCCTTTGAACAATGTCACACGGTTCATCATTTACAGTGCGCATGGATTGACGGTGACGTTCTCTTTTCTACTTTGAAACCTTCGATGCTAATTTTCGTCAGTACTTAATATATTGATTATGTCAAAAATAGAATGATAATGCAAACATTTATCACTTCATCTAATTCAATGAAAAGCTAAAATATCGCTCAACTAAAATTTGGCTCTTTAGACTTCTGCTATTTCCTAAAGCTTAAATTGTTATGCGTGTTCATTAGCGCATATACTTTTTTTACTATTAATGTTTCAAGAAAACAACAAAACTCCAAATGTGAATCAACAAGTATATATTGAAATAACATACAAGAACAAAATATACAATAATTTGTATTCAATGTATAGATTAAGGGAAAAGAAGTTTCCCCGCTTTAACTGTATTTTTGACTTGTGATTAATTGTTCGAAAGAAGGTTCTCTTGAGAGAGAAATGTTCAGGAATCAACGTTAGAATTGATAACACAAGAATACAATTGATCAGAAAGTGTATTGTATTAGAGAAATAAACAGAGTCCTGGTTGATTGAACTTGGCTGATTCACAGAGAGATATGTATATATGCATTACAAAATTCTGTATCTGTGTGTGCGTTTGAAATGTGAGTAAAGTCATAGGCTTGTGTTGACAGACGAAATTTGCTGGATTCTACTGGCGGCTTGTGCAAAAGTCGCCTCTTTTAAAGCTACAGGTAGGCTCCCAGCGAAACCGCGGGAAAGGTTGATTTTGCACTAAAATAAGTGATTGGTTAAAATTTGACCAATCGCTAAATTTGTACTAACGAAACAAGTAAGCAAGTTCAAAACCGAAAAATTCAAAGTAACGACTGCGATGGCTAAATTGTCCTAGAGAAAGGCAGTATTGATTTATTAGTTGATTTTGTTGAGATTTAGTTTCATGCCATACCACTGCTCTCTTTCAATGCCGAAATCTAAATATTCTGTACACAATTTTTATTTTTGGAGATAACAATTGTTATGGGAACTTACCCATAATAACATGATGGACTATTCCATACGTAATAAATACTGCGCCTCAAGAGGAAGCAGGGATTTCCGTCTGGAGTCTGGAATTCAGTCTGAAGTCTGGAGTGAAGTTCGTCAGGAGTCAGTCAGTCAGTCAGAGCGAGTTAGTCAGTCGAGTCAGAAGCAGTCCGAAACAGAGTCGCGTTCAGACAATTACTACTAAACCTGATTGTTCGTACTAACACTTTCTACTTCTCTGTATATATTTCTGTTTGTAATATATCAGTGTTATTCCATATCCGTATTCGAGTTCTTCTTTATTGGTTCTACCTTGCACTATCACCGTGGTACAAGGAATCGGACCATAACAACAATGTTTTCAGCGACACAAATCTGACTAATTAATACGTATCTGGAGGTAGGGAAGAGGTGAATTCAGACCTTTTCAAAGGGTTTTTGCCTGTAAGTGAATATAACGAACCCAACTGGAATTGGAACTCAGCTCTCCAATTAAAAATTTCGAACCATTATCCATAACACCACCCACACATCCAAGCTTACAGCACTCGGTATTCCTAAGCGGTCACCCATCTAGGTACTGACAAGGCTCAATGTTGCTTAACTTCGGTGATGGTACGAGAATCGGTATTTCAACGTGATGTGACTGTAAGCCTCGCCGTTGACGAATGTGGAGGGGACGCTGGGATATCTGTGCGATACCCTGAGGAGAGTAGTTTGAAATTGGATATGAAAAATATCAGAAAGGTCCACCTAGCCTACCTAACAAACAATAAAAACCTGTCAGGGCGCCAAGTGTGGGAGTGATCACCTTGCAACTGGATGCAAACGTTGATGAAAATTGCGGAAATTAAAGAAAAAAATAACGCCGCAGCTGTAATACGACAGACTCTAGGACGACTTAATTGGAAAACAGATGTATACAGAGTTAAGAGTAAATAGAATAGCTTATATAAAACCACAAATTCAAAGTGAAACACCTTAAGGAAAGCTCTAGTGACATCGGCAAAGGAGATTATCTCAAGTAAGAATCAGCTTAATGAAAATTTCTATAGGTTTGTAGTGACACAGACAAAATTGAACTTTTTTACATAGAGTCGAGCGACTACTATAAGTCAGTCGTCACTCCGTACAGAAGGGGAAAATATAACTCACAGACTAGAAGATATCACAACAATATGGCGTCGCCGGTAAGATTTCTAACACTGTTGGGCGAGCCGGATTTTGTAGAAGCATGGCTTTGTTGTTTTGCTGTCCAATCACGGGCCAAAAAGTTAAACACCACAAAGTTGCAGAAGGAGAGAACGAGATTACAGATCTCTTTTTGGCTTCGGCGAGATGTGAGGCCATCAGAAAGATCTCTTTCATGCCGTATCTCAGAGAATTGGAGGATTTGACATTTTCACAAATTTTGGATATTATAAAGAAAAATTTACGGCCGAAAAAGAAGTTGGTTATTGCTGAGAGGACAAAGTTTTTCGCGAGCAAATGAGAGCCGAATGAAACAAAAATACAGTTTGTACACAAGCTACGAGAGGCTTTCAGATTTTGTGAGTTTGAAAAACTTGCCACTGGAGAAATGACCATCAAAGATGAATTGATAAAGCTGAGATTAATTGAAGGTATGTGTGATGCTTTATACAAACGACTAAAATGTCCTTAGATGCTTCAATAGAGTTTCTGCAACAATTAGAGTTGAATGAAAAATTCAATACATCCAATTTAACACTTCAGGGTCGATCCTGGTTCACAACAAACGGCAACAGATGTAACCTTTCATCGTAGTGAGCTCGGGATGGATTCTGGTTTGATCAATGGAGTGATCTCTTCGATACTGACCTACCTTACCCCACGTTGTAATTGATTTGATTATAAGGAGGCCAAGCTCGATTCATCGCAGGTATCTTCATGCTGGGCTGGTCCAAGTCGAGTGAAGTCGCACAATAAAATTGGAGAAAAAAAAAAACAGCACTTGAAATATATATAAAAAATAACTACTATTTTTATATCAATTGTTCGTTAGTAGTTGTGTTCGCATAAAGGTGTTTGTTGACCCAACCCGATACTAAATCACTTGAGTAAGTTGGTAAGTCTTTGCAGAGTTAGCGAAATTTGTTTTACTGTTTTGGTAAGTTTGACTCAAGGTTTAAGTCGAAGGTTCTTATGTTTGGCAGCAAATGTGGAATCTCTCAGCGACCTCCGCCGCTTCCCTTCTCAGCTCTCAACTGTCAGCTCGCAACTCCAACTCTGAACTGAACTGACTGAATGGCTTTCGCGCATTCATTTTTGTGGACTCCAACTAGAAACCATTGCGGGGCAAGATGTTGGCTGGGTTTCGGTGAATCCCCCTATTTTCAACAAAAGTTTATTGTTTTTGGTCTTGAAAATTAAATTAATTCATAATTTTGGGGAAATTTCCTCTTTCGTGGTGGGGTGTAGACATTGCTCCGCCTGGCTGCTTTTACCTTCTCTTAGTATCACCTCTCACTATTACCTTCCAATGGGCGTGAGCAGCTTCTTCAACCTCCTTAATGTCTCTCCTGTGTCTGCTACTCTTCAGTGGGTTTGGGCAGCCCCTCATCCTTCTCTGATCGCTCTTCTGCGCCTGTCACCTCCAGCAGTCGGTCGGAGATTAATTTAAAAAAATATGGTTTCAAATGTTCTTATCTCATAAGTGAATTGATACCACAATTGGCTTTCTCACCTTTGACCCAAGAGACACTTTCCCTCTTCTGGCGGACTATCTATTCACACACTAACTAATGGTGGAACAAGAAACTTTACAGTATGTTTCCTCTGGTAGTAGTAATTGGGCCTCACGCATTGTTGTTCTAACGAAAACCGGATGTAGTTTTAAGGATACGTGGGGGATTACAAAATAGGTGTAAACCACAAAATTTGTTCCGATTCATGCTCCCTGTTCCTAACATTCAAACTGATACTCACGAGTTGTCGGGAATTAAATACTTTGCTAAAATTGACTTCAAATGTACCTCTAACCAGATACAAATTAATGACAAATGTATAGAAGTCGCAACTATTAACTCTCCAATGCACTTACTCAAACGGAAGCGTATGCTTTATGGTGTATAAACTACAAATGCTACTGAAAATGTACTAACTGGTGATGTTAAGAAAATGATCATCTATCAAGTAGATATAAGTATTGATGCTACCAGATAAAAAGATAAGGCACAGGTTAACTATAAAGAAGGTTTTTATATGCAATGGAGATATTTTGATACCACCAGATACATTAAGAAAATACGTAATGAAAAATGTACATGATGATGTTCATTGTGGAATAACAGCAACGCAGAGACAATTGAAATTGAAAGCGTGGTGGCCTGGGTAATCTCCCGATGTACAAAAATGTCCAAAATGTAGAGAAATAAAAAAAAAGCTTTCGCCAAACCAAGATACATTCATGGGACCTTGTTCATGGGCATCATGCGCGTATTAAAGGCATAGGATTATTTTTAATTTTGGTCGACACCAGATGGCCTGAAGTGGTTAGTGTTTAGGGTAGGAAGGCAGTCACGGTAAAGCAAATATTACAATATTTAACAAATGTGGGGTGCCAAAACTTTAATCTCTGACAATGCACCAGAATTTTGTGATGAAACTTTGCGTTCGCGGTTAAAAAAAATTGGATGCCACCCTTATAAAACACCTCCATACCGTACGAATCGAATAGAATGGCAAAAAAATGGTGCATACGGCGAAAATTTGGTTGAAGTGATTTTCCCCATCGAGAGACACCATAGATAGTTGCCTACTGAGACTGTTACTGAATTAAAGAACTATTCCACATGTTGGTAGAATGCAATGTCCCTCTACATTCGCCTATAACAATGTCCTATTCAACAAAAAAAAAAAAAAATGTAGTAGAAAAAAGACAAAAAATCAAGTTCTGAAAAATATAATACGGCCATAATAGCAACAAGTAGAGAAAATCTATTGCTGTTTCACCAGTAAGGGGATAACACTTCGCAAGGTAAGAAAAGGAGCTTCCCTTTTTCTCCTCTCTAGGGTTCAGCCTATCGCAACAACAAAACCTTTTTCCTTAACGAGGAGGCATTTGTAGGATGTTTAGAGGCTTAAGGCCACTGTTTAAATCCACCTCGGTTGGTGTCATGTCAACTGAGGAACCCCGGAACTTTCCTGTTTGCAACTCTCTGAATGTTGTTGTCATGCGTCATTGTATAAATCTTACACACTGTGCACTTATATGAGATTGAAGATTTTATCTGAATACCTACCATCCTTCAGGCTGTTGAACCAATTTTATTTTCCATCAGTGTATTAGTTGTTCCCCCCACCCTGACTCTGTATTTCTAACCTGCTGTATTTTCATTATTTGCAGCCTCCACTCCTTTATGAAATTTTGTACAGTGCTTTTCTTGTGATTTTCGTCACCAAACGTCCAATGAAGTAAAATAGAATTCAAAATTTCTCTTCCTCCAAAGGTAATTCAATCACACTTCCACCAAATTATACAGCCAATGCCAAAACCTATGAAAAATTTTTTTTTAATTTGTAAAAACATCAGAAAGAAAAGAATCCAATCCCATGAATTTTGAAAAAGATTTTTTTTTTATTTTCAAACTAGTTACAATATTTTTAACAAACTTATCTACATTTGTATGAAATTTTTAACCAATTGAAACAATTAAAAAGAAACATTTGAATGTAACCCTGAATAAGAAAGTCCCTTGCAGTGAGAAATGCTGTTTAATTGTCTATCTAAACAAATGGAGGATTCATATCTTAAACATGAAATCTCATTTGACTGTTACAAGACAAAAAAAATGACAGATTCTTTGTCTCTTTTTCTTTTTTTTAAGAAGGCTGAAAAAAAAACAAAAAAACAATTCAGATCTGATTTTTCACAGACAATTCAGGGTCAAAACAGGAATTACCCACCCCCAAGTACAACTCTTCATAAAGGAATAGTAGACTAACAAGAAATGTATTTTATTTATGCTGCATTGAAAGTGCATTCTTATACAATTGTTTAGCAACAATCATTCAAATCAACCTGCCTAAATTGAAAATCAGCAAATCAAAATTTGGTTACTTACCAACATAATGCTGCTAATGACTCAATCAACAAAAAGACAAAATAAACTTTCTTGATTGTTCCCCTACACAAATGCTAAAACACAAATTTTAAACATAGACACATTTATCTATATATTTAGCTTGAATCTGTGCCTGATTCATGACTTTCATTTAAAATACACAAATCTTGAATGCTTTTTTTGTCTCTTGTTAGCCGAATAGAAAAGTACTCCTTTACACAATGGAAACACTCTTCTTGGCCACCAAATATTGTTTAGAAATTTAATTCTTTATCAGTGCAAAAAGCTAAATGTTTGACAGAAAGGAATAACCTGTTTGTTTCAAGCAGCTGCTGAAATTAAATGGTGGTATCAGCTTGTTTGCTATGTGAAGGCTTGCTTGATTTTATTTGATGATCAAGAAAGAAACAGACTTGAATTTAAAAGCTTCATATACTATTACATATATTTGTACACATATATACACATACTGTGATACATGGATGTTTTATATTTTTACTATCTCTACAAACAGAACCTAATATAGCAGTATGTTGATAAGTCAAGTAAAAAAAAATCATGTTATATAAGTGAGTAGTCTTATAGAAAAAGGCAATGCTATCCACCTAACAAATATATTTTGCAACAATACAGTGGGCTGTAATATTGGATCGTTTGGCTAGTATACAGGAGGTCAGTCATTAAAAGAGCGATTTATAATTTATCAAAACGACCAAATTATAACGCCCACTTGTGTATTAGTGTTAAGGATGTCAATCAACTGCAACATATATACGACACCATCTTGATTTTAACAACAAACATGAATTCCACTAAAATGTAAAAGATATCACAGTGTATCCAGTTTTGTGTTGTGTTAAATGTGCTATATCTGTCTGTGTAAAAAATGTTGACTAAGCTTGACTTTGTGTGCCCCACTTTTATTTCCTTGTGCCAGACTAAGAGTACTAAACACATACTAGCAAAACAAACTTGTAAAACATGGTATTACAGTAGGCAAACATTATATATATATATATATATATATACACACACACAGAACTTTCTAACACTACAAAAGTCCTCAAGTTCCAAAACTGCAGCTGGTGTAACCAAAATACAACGCACAATCTTATCTGTCGTGTCAACAGGCATTGACCAAATTCAGTTAAACTAGCACTATATTATCTTTCAGAAGAAAACAAATTTAATCCATGCCCCAAATAATAATCTGATAATTCATAGTTTGATTCTTGTAAAAACAAAAGCAGAAAAAAAATGTATTTATTCCCATATTAATATCAACTGATGCTTATTTAAATTATTTTAAGTCCCCTTGCCATAGCACAATGGTAAGGAAGATTAAATTTGCAATTTTACTAGATGCCCATTTAATGTAGCCTTGTGCCAGACTAAGTTTAGGTACATATAACTTTCCAGTGTGCTTACAAGCTGCAGTCTCATTTTATACCAATGATTATAAAGTTGCATAATTTGGGCTGTTTTGTTTATCAGAAGAGCCTCCATGACATGTAAGCATTTGTTTTTCATTGTGGAACTATTTAGGGTAGCATTTTCTTTTTTCTGGATGGAAATAAATTAGGTATGGAGAGATGCTGAAATGATGCAACCACATATTCTGATCTTTCATGCAAACACTGACACTGTCTTTTTTTTCAAACACCTCCCCACCCCCACTTTGTAAGTCAAACAAAAATTGATTCATTCAAACCAGTTTCATTGAAACAGAGAGAAAATGGGGTCAAATAAATCAAATGTAGAATAACAACAAACACTTTGTCATTTTTGTTTGAATTTCTGAGACAAACACAGACTCTGCAACCAACCAAAAATTAATTGATGTCCGTTCATGTTGGTTTTTGTCTATTCAACTTACATAACAGCTGTTTGAATGCAGGAGGACCAAGAATTTAACACAATTTCATCATTCTTGCTAATGCAATATAATTAAGTTTATAGCAGATTTTAGAAACACATTCTAATAACAAGAATACACTTTATAGCAAGGTTTCAGCATCCAATTGTTAATAGCAAATTATATCAAAATAATTAGCAATAATAATGTGATGAGATGTATATTGAATTAGGCAACATGTTTATATACATATATCTATAAGTAGAAATATGTTTATATACATATATCTATAAGTAGAAGGTAGAAGGACGGTACATTATAAGAAGTTACTTTTGTTGCAAACAAAAGAGATTAAAGTGTTTCCACTTGTACAACTTGTGGCAGTGTGTGTACCAAAGGTGTGGCCATGCAAAAATAGATAAATCTTAACCTGGGTCAAAACAAAAACTTACTTTTTTCCAATTTCTTTTAGGGAAGGAAGAAAACTTGACATACAATCTGCATTTATTACTGACTGCATTTCAAGAACTGCACTAAATCCTGGGGAAATAGTTTGAAATTGTTCCTCTTATAGAAGAATGCAGATAATTACATGCAAACAATCACACACACAGATATATATGCATGCATTCGTTGCTAAATGACAATGTATATAACAGCCATTTGAGGTCTGGGTATGAAATGATTGTCATTGAGAGTGGATCATTTGGCTTCACTAGTTTAATCAAATATCCTGAAGACCATGATGACTAGTGATGGGACCAAGTGCAGAAAAAGTTTCTTTCTTAAATTTCCCCAATACAAAATCCCATCAGCAATGATGGAAACAAAACATTGTTTTGTTGACCCATTTTCCAAAAAACATTCAATTATACATTCATCAATAAATACAAAAAAGCCTTTTTTCAATTAAAAATCAATTAAATATTTCAAGTGTCCATAAAGTTCCCTGAGCACTTTAAAAATTTAATAACTTGTGCAGCTTTTAAGATAAAAACAATAGGAAAACAATAATGTCAATAGTACTGACTTGGTTTGAGATTCTGAAATGAAGTATTTGCATTATTGCACATTGTGGATGGAATGAGCCTCATTCTGTTAGTGTCATTATACACAATGGTTGATTTGGGAAATCATTGTGATAAAAAGAAACAAACTACTCTGTTTGCTGGGAAATGCATGAAGAGTCCAAAGATTTTCTGATACAAAATAAAAACTAAATTAAGAAATGGAGTTTCATGAAGCTGTTCTACAACCATCGAATGAATTATTTTTTATCTAAAGTTACAAAAAATTTTTATAAAAAAATTGGTATATATATAAAAATTTTGTGTGTTCTAAACTGAACACCCTAATCAGTTTAACCTGACCAATTCTATATTAAAAAGAACTGATTATACGTAATTAATATTTCTAAATTCAAATTGCCAATAACAATTTTTCAGCATTTTAATAACCCTAAACAGAATCTTTGATTAACATATTAGAAGTTTACATAAAACTCCCCAGAGGTTTGGTGAGCTGATCCCTTGGCTGAAGCTAAGGTCCAAATAGAGCAAATACTAAGAAAAAAATCTCCACCCAAATAATCAGTAGCTTTACTAGCCAAATAGTAAAAGCAGCAACACATAGAACACTTCCATCCAAATTCTATCAATTCAAAATTCTTTCAAGTTTTCAACATCTGCTTTTATATATGATGCGATGGTAAAAGAAAATTAATCTGAAAACAGTCATCATTTTACAAACTTTTTCTTTTTTTATTATATCAATTTCTAATGTCTATTCTCAGTAGTAAATTTTCTTATCAAATATCCTTTAAAATAAAATTAAAATTTTACATTGTTCTTATCTTAAATATGAGCCCAAGTTGTTAAAATTTTAATTGCATAAAAATTGTGCATTTTGACAAGGAGTTTAGCTTTTTGATTATTTTTTCTTGTTAAAAATAGTTTGGTTATTTCAAATTCTTCAAATAAACAAGGACAAAACAAAAAGAATCAACACTAAATAAAAAATTGATAAAAATGTCCTCATTGGTTTATCACTTGGTTGAATAAAACCAACTTGGAATTCTGTGGAACCTCCTGACATCACCAAAAATGTTGGGATCAGAATGAGATTCTCTTAAGCAGAAGTGAAAGAAAAATCTCCATCTTTTTTGTTTTGGAATTTTTAGTTTTTGATTTAGTGAGCGAAATTTTTTTTATATTCTTTCTTTGTTTCACTTTCAAAACATTCTTTTTCTGCAAATAAAATCACTTTTAAAACAAAACAAAGATTAAAGAGAAATTCATTGTCATTTGATCTAAAAACATCCATTTTACTTTCTTTTAATTCAATTGCTGCCAAAGTCAAAGTCTTCAGAAATAATCAAAAAATCTGAAGAAATCATTTGTTAAATTTCTGGCATCCCCCAGTTTCTTGAATTTCATTAACTGAGAATAAATAAAATATTCTCCAAAGGAATGTTCTTGTGTTTTTTTTTTGTTTTTTTTTTTGTTTTCAAAATATCCAGCTGTCATAAACTGCAGTCCAAGTGACAGGCGTAACCCATTTGGGTAATCTCTTTTCTGCAGCTGACAACTCTGCACTCTCCTTCAAACCTCCATGCATATAATGACCTGCAAAAGCAATGTCTGTAACTGCTTTGTCGATTTTCCAATCTTGCGGAACCTGGAAAAAAAATGTTGAGTTAATTTTCCCTTAAAAGCTGTATGTTCATGTAATTAAAAAGAAAAAAAAAACTTTCATATTTGCTTCCTCTCTCTAAATTTTATAAATGAACAAATAATAAATTAAATTTATACACATGCACACAAACAATATATAAATTATTATTACTGTAAACATTATTTTATTGGATACATAATTTACATTGTTTAAAAAACAGAGCATCTACTCAAACATGAGTATCCTATGAAATGATTTTAGATTAAAAAAGAAAATCCATTATTTCCTTACACACACACACACAAACACAAGTTTTATTAAATACAACCAACAAAGTCTGTATAATTTGTTTTTTTATGGGGGGGGGTAGGAGGATTCTTTTAATTTGCATGCAAGTTATTGTACATCCAGACCAAATTTGTGAAGAAAATGTCTAAAGTTCATAATGTTTTTGTTCAAGAATGTCAGTTAAACATCACATGGTCAAAAAGTTTGATGGGCTGCAGATCAACTCTCCAAATTAGTTATCTGAATGTTCATTCTTTGAAATAACGAAGTCAAACCCAGGACTTTTTTTTTTTTAAGTTCTTTCAGAGTACTATCTCTGCCAGTTTTAAATCTTTGTTGAATTTCTAATGAACATTTCAACTTTAACTATGTTAAAACTTAGTAAATTGTTTTTTAATAGAAGCAGATAAGCTCTCCTTTTGCCTGGTCTATACTCCACCCACTTCTCTTGAACAGGAGTAGAGGCTCATCCCCTGTTTAGGAAGGGCCTTTTGGTTCCTTTCCTTTTCTCAGGTCTTAATAATGGTGCTGTCATAAATTTTTTGTGATATGTGTAAATGGTGGCAATGTCTCTTCATACTGAGAGTACTGGGTTGGCAGTTTTCTGGTTGCTGTTCCCAACTGATAGTTAAGAGCCCAAACTCTTGCATAGCATCTTGAGAGGATTCTCTTGTCAACAGCCACGTAACATCAGGGTTCTTGCAGTACCATGTCGTGTATGGAATGATGTCCCTGCAAGAACCTCAGGTGGGCAATCCTGATGCCAAACTATGTTGCAGTCTGCACCAGTTCCCTTCCCGTTAGATTAGATGACTAACTGCAACTACTAATCTAGGCCTACTACTAATCTAAGAGCATAGCTTGATGAAAAAGATGCCAACCTTGCCAAAAACAAAATTTTATTGTCTAAATGCTTATGTTATTATTAAGAGGAAAGACCAAAGTTTTTTTTTTAATTATTTTTAAAATTTTTCCTTCTTTTAGAACATTCTAAATTTTGATTAAAAAAACCTTTTTCTATTTGTATCAGCGAACTAGTAAATAACATAGACAATTTTTAGCACATTTTTTTTTTTTTATGACACACATTAATTTGAAAAAAATCATGCAAAAATAGAATAATTATCAGATGTTAATGAAACTTTCAGGAACTATTCACAGATGATCGAAATTATTATAAATATGTTTTTTTTATGAAAGTCATGGTAGAAATATTTTTAAAAATATTTATTACCCCCATAACTAATTTTATGAAAACGCTAGAAATTGATCGCATCGGTTTTAGTGATTACAATAATTAAAAGCACAGGGCTTTGAGGAATGCAAATCATGTTTTTTTTTTTTTAATTGGATACGCAGTACCTGAAAATCAGCTCTGAATTGTAACATACAAAACTCAATAAAACAAAGATATTATTTAATTTCAAATGCTTTTATTTGCTTTTAGTTGTTTTTATGAATATGGACAATATTTTCTGAAAGCAAAAAAAAAATTTTCGATGAAAATGAATTTTAATACAATTATTTGTTATTTTATTAATTATAATAGATTTTACATTTAAGTTGTTAAAATATTATAAAATTAGTTAAAAGTCAGATCGGCTTTCATAAGTGTCCTTATGAGATAGATCTTTTTTAGTGCGTTGTAAATTGTATCATTTTGACTAATCAGAAGATCCCCAGTAATTAAGAAATGTAATTTTGTGCTTATAATCGAGCTGTAATTATAAAATACGGAAGACCAACCAGAATATAATTAAGTTGCGTTATTTGAGTTAAGCATTGTTCTCCGCTGTTAAGGCCTTTACTTTTCTTGAAACACGTGTGGAGAAGTTAATTTGATTTTTCAATTTCAACTGAGAAGGGTACCTACAAGTATCAGTATCATCTTATGAAATTTATATGATCTTATTTTATATTAATCTCAGTTACGACATTTTTTCCATAAATGAAATATCAAAATTAATAATAAAATGAATGCAAATACAAATAACAGTAGAATGTAATAAATGTACATAAAATTATAGTATTTTATGTACAATTCTGATAAAATTTCATAAGAAAGGTACCTATAAATTAATTAGATACTTTTCTTAAGAAATATGAAATTTAATGTCACTCTTAACAGTTTTATTTTAATTTCTTTACAATATATTTCCCATAAAGCATCATAAATGTAAAGGTGAAAGCTAAGTACAAAAAAAAAAAAAAAAAAAAATTAGACCGCTGAAAGTTTTCGTTAAAAATAACGGGTAAATAATTTGTTCACGTAAATGTAAATTATTTCACTTTTCTCCTTCCGTAGAACAAATTAGCCTCATGGAATTCGTAAATATATCATTCATCACATGTCAAGAGACGCTAAAGTTTATGACCTGCTTTGTTTTATTTTCAAATTACATCTTTTGGCACAAAAGCTAAGTTAAGTTTGGTTAAAAATATTTTAAATAAACATTATAATTTCTGATTTTCTTAAAATAAGTTTTGAAAAAATGATAATTGATATTTAAAAAAATTTCAAAGTCAGATTTCCATTTTTTTTTTAAAATGGAAAAAAAGGGTCAATTTTGCTGACTCAAAAAAAACTAGATTTTTAACGAAAATTTCGACGTGCTAGGAACGATTAAAAAATGGAAAAAAATACCCCAAAAATGCTTTGACCTTTCCTCTTAATAATAAACATTTAGACGATAAAATTTTGTTTTCGTCAAGTTTGGCGTCTTTTTCATCATGCTATGCTCTTTTTTTAGCGATCTCGTGGAGGTACCTATCTTAATCTATTGACTGTTGTGTGTTAGATAGTATTTCTGAAAATATAGAAAAGGCCATCTCTCTACACCTGTTTGCAAATATATTTGTGTTCAGTGACTTTAATATCCACCATGCCAGGTGGTTCAAACACTGTCACTGACCTCACTGGCATCTAACCCCTGAACTTCTCAATCACTCTCACGCAAGTGGTAGACTTCCCCACGCATTTCCCCCAGTAACCCTGGTGGACAATCTTCTCTTCTAAATCTCTTTCACCTCTATCCCTGACCCATGTCATATTATGCAGCTCTGCCCTCTTGGCAATTGTGATCATACGATAGTGTCTGTAAACAATCTTTTTCCACTCTCCCACCAGCCAAGAACCTCCTACCAATAGAATATCTTTCTGTTATCAACAAGTGGATTGGGACTCATTACATGATTTCCTTCATGACATCTCTTGGAATGAAGTTTTTAATCATCCTGTTCAAAAATAGACATCTGAGGTCTTCTCCTGAGTGAAAGCCAGCATCAATGTGCTTTCATTCCAGCAAGAAAATACAAAGTTAAATCATGTTCATCCCTTGGTTCTCACCTGCATGCTCAGCCGCTATAGCTCTTTTATAACTTCCTATTGTAAAGTTATTTTTATAACACACACTCGTACTTAGTATAATGTAATTCATTAAAGTTTTCTCTATACGTAATGCTTAGGCTACTGTTGTATGTCTGTATGGTAAGTATGAAAACTGACACTACTACTACTATTACGCTCATACTATGGAACTGTTTATAGTATTAGACAAGGTTCATAGAGTCACCAGGAGTGTACTCTTAGTCTAAAACATCCACCACTTTTGAGATTAATACTTCATGAAACAAATATTTTTATTTTGTATTAGTATATCTCCCCCTCCTCTTTCTGGAGAGTTCACCAACATACTTTACTTTGTAGCGTTTCAATCTCAGATCCACTTCTAGTTCTTCTGTACTCTTTCTTTTCATTGAACTTGATCTTGTTGGTTCCACAATATGTTTTTGTACTGGCACATCAAAAATGTCATACAGCATTTTAACCAGTTCTTCAGGTCTTTCATCAGTTAATCTTTTCTTCAGCTGATTTTGGTGACTTTTATGTTGGAATTTTTTTCCTTTCACCATGTAGACCAATTTTCCAATTCTAGCTGCCATATTCCCATGTTTCCTTTCCATTCTTGTATGTTTTAAAGAATACTTTATCGCTGACCTTTAATCTATTGGTGTCACTTTTATTCACCATTCATGATTTCCAACTTGGTAATAATTTGCCAATCACTGATCTTACCCTCCTGGCAAACATTAATCCTACCAGTGACATGCCTGATGGTGTATCGGGATTAGGTATTAACCAGTACACTCTCAAAATATTTTGAAGTGTTTCCTCATTTAATTTGTCCAGACTTGCTTTTTTCAACACTCTTTTGAATATTCCTACAAACTGTTCCACTTGTCAATTAGATCTTGGGCGATATGGTGGGGTCGTAACATGTTCTATAGAACAACTCACAAAAGTCTTGAAATTCTTTTCCAATGAATTGTGTTCCATTATCCAAGACTATGGTATCTGGTATGCTATATCATACAGACAGTTCATGCAAAAAATTCACTGTCACTGAGGATGTAGGATTCTTGCACTTGTAAATTTCCAGTCATTTTGAAAACTATCAACTACGACTAGATAATTTGCACCACCCATAGGACCTGCAAAATCTATATGTAATCTTGGCCACAGAGTGTTTGTCTTTGGCTAGAGCACAATCGCTACATGCTTTTACTGTATTTTAGGAGGTTTTTTTTTGATATCTTGGTCCATTCCAGTCCAATATACAAAACTTCTCATGAGAGATTTTATTCTTGAAATGCAAGGATGTCTAGAATGAAAATCCTTTAAAATTTCTGTAACACACTCTGTATTACAATTCTTT